GAGAGAGAGAAAGGTCTTCCTTCCATTGGTTCACCCCCCAAATGGCCACTACGGCCAGTGCGCTGCGCCGATCCGAAGCCAGGAGCCAGGTGCTTCCCCTGCCCCTGGTCTCCCATGCGGGTGCAGGGCCCAAGCACTTGGGCCATCCTCCACTGCCTTCCCAGGCCACAGCAGAGAACTGGACTGGAAGAGAAGCAACCGGGACAGAATCTGGCGCCCCAACCAGGAGTAGAACCCGGGATACTGGCACTGCAGGTGAAGGATTAGCCTAGTGAGCTGCAGCACCAGCCTCAATAATGCTTCTTCTTCCTCTTTTGTTTAGTGTTCTTCTAGGGAGTCTTTCTATAGATATTAAAGGTTTCTAGGCACCCATGAGATGGACTTGGATGTTTTCAACCCAGCTAGCCACAGTTGGACATCTCCTGGAGGGGACATTGGAGGCAACAGGTGAATTTCTGTGTCTCAGCTTGTAGGAAGGACAACTCCTTTAGTACAAGTCCCCTCTGTGTCCCCTAACTGTGCCAGCAGGAGTGATCCCCATCCCTGCCACTCGCACCCCATACCCATGCCTGACTTCGTCCTCAAGCTGCAGTCACCATTTCTGCCTTTTGCAGGACCCTGCACTTCTGGGAAGGAGTTTTGTGGGCGATTTCAATTCCCTGTGACAGCACCAGGATGTCTAAGTCAGTTCTGAAATGCATGGTGCTTACCAATGCACCGGGATTGGGCCACAAAAAAAGAATCAAATATTTAAGAATAAATTTAACAAAAGAATCAAAAGATCTTGGGGCCGGCGCTGTAGCATAGTAGGCTAAGCTGCCTGCGGCACTGGCATCCCATATGAGTGCTGGTTCAGGTCTGGTTGCTCCACTTCCAATTCAGCTCTCTGCTGTGGCCTGGGAAAGCAACAGAAGATGGCCCAAGTGCTTGGGCCCCTGCACCCACGTGGGAGACCCAGAGGGTACTCCTAGTTCCTGGCTTTGGATTGGGACAGCTCCAGCCATCACAGCCATTTGGGGAGTGCACCAGCAGATGGAAGACGTTTCTCTCTGTCTCTCCCTCTCTCTGTCTGTAACTCTGCCTCCCAAATAAATCAACACAATCTTAAAAAAAGTGAGAGATTTCTAAGATGAAAACTATAAAGTGTTGGTAAGAGAAATCACCAAGAGATTCTCATAGTGGTGTGGTGTATCCATGCACAGGGATGGGAATTCTCATTTTCCTAAGGATGTGGTTTATTGGTCTCCTCCCTGCTTTGCAGATTCAGGTCCTCAGGAGGAAGCAGGGGCCTTCCAGCACATGGTGCTCTGTGTTTCTACCAGAACCACAAGCCTCATGGCTGTGCTGAGGGAGGAAGAGCAGCAGTGACAGCTGAAATGGAGTGACAGGCACGGCAGTGCCCACAACACACACTAGGGTGAGGGCCGTGAGTGAATTTCCTCTTTTTGCTCTGCTGTATTTCTGTCATACAATTATTTTTTTGCAATGGAAGAAAAGTCAAACTTTTACAACTAGGAAGAGAATTTTATTTAAATTAAAAGAGTGTAATTATTGGTGGTGATTGTCACCAGCATCAGTGTGCTGCATGCCTCTGGGAGATGTGTGCCTGAAAGACAATGGCTGGGAATTCAGGGAGGACCAGGAGGTGCCAAGGGAGCTGCGCCGTGTGAACCTGGTGACACACGGGAGCGGACCTCACTGCACTAGGCACATCCCTCGCCTTTCAGGGACGTCTCCTTTGTGACATCTCCTGCTCTTTTATCATGGAGTCCATCTTCTCAGCCCGGGTCTTCAAAGGCCTTGTCCACAGTCACACACCCAGCTGTGTCCTCTCAGGCGGCCACATTTGAGAGGTCTGAACTGTGTCTATGGAGCTTGTGGGTTTCTGTGTCTAACATGCAGCCTCAGAAACAAGGCACCAGCACCAGCACCAGCACCAGCACTGTGCATCATTAACCAACCACAAAGGCAAGCACCTGATCACTTCTCTGAAATGTTACGGCTTGAAGCTTGCAATCATTATTTGTGGGTCCCAGAGGCTCAGAGCCTGCTCACCAGCAGGTGAGCTCCAGGCACCAGCCCTGAGAACTCCCCCAGCACAACCTCAGGTTGCCACTTACACAGCTGCTGAAAGCAAAACCTCTGAGAGAGGCAAGACCATTCCCTCAGAGATGGGACCAGACGGCAGAAATTAAACCTGAAAATGTCTGTTTTGCTACCAGAAGGCAATGCTAAATGATTCTGTGTGATCTCAGAGGAGTGGCACTCCAACGAACAGCTCATCCAGCACCTTCCTAGCAACTCTACAGAGAACAATACCAGAGGTCAGTGGGCAATCAGTGACCCTCCCTCCTCTGTGCTTCTCGGTGCTGTACTGTGCGTGGTAAGTTGCTGAGCAGGGGTAATTTTGTCTGATGGGATCACCCTTCTTTGTCATTAATCCATATTGATACAATGACAGGGGTGTCTCCCTCAGATGCAGAAGTGGGTGCTTGGACTGAGCTGTGAGGTCACAAGCATAGTCACGACCCCTGTCCTGAGAGCGTGGGCTCCACCTGCCGAAGACATACAGTTGCTCCAGTGGTCCCAGCCCCCCTGCACGGTCACAGCCCCCTGTCCCCTTGGGTCTGTTAGGACAACGCCATGCCTGTCACGGCTTCACCATGCATGTCCAGTAAGGCTCTTACCCAGCCCCTGCTTAGAGCACTGGAGTCACATGGATGCTTTGTGGGCTCCACAGTGCATGTGTGTGTTGGGGGAGGGCTGTTCCTTGATTGGACACCTGTGACCAGTGTGCATGAAAATGTCACTGCGCTGGCTGAGTGTCCTTGGGGGTCCCCTCAATACCTTGTCCACTTGGCTGAGCCAAGAGCCTCTCTCCAGGTTCCTCTCACTCTGCTCACCTCTGTCTGAGGAGGTGGTGCTGGCCACGTCCCCTTCCCCCAGGTGTAGGGTCCCTCGGGTAGCGTGTTGCCTCACTTTGTTTCCATGCTTGCATTACAGAGAAAAGTGTTTACCTGGATTTCACTTCCCTGGAAGCCACTTTGCCCGTCCCACCCACCCCCATCTCCCACCTGTTTGCAGACCTGTCAGCCAGAAGCTGCAGGAAAGGCTGCTCACTGTAAGATAACCTGTTGGTATTGGCCATTGTTGTGGATGTGGCTTCCTTTAATCTTGTTAAATTCTGATGAAATGAACAGTGTGCAGGTGAGGAAAGACTGGAAATGGATCCCAAGTGTGGTAGATGCTGGAACTGGGCAGGAGAATGGAGACTGGAGGCAGAAGCCCAGCAAGCAGAGTGGCCCACCACCCCCTTGCATTCAAAAGCAAAAGATGGTCCTGAGATAGGTGTGGGGCATTTGGGAGACTGTGCAGCAAGTGCAGGGGGCTCTCATCACAACACCCTCCCAAGCGGCACAGCCAGTGGGTGGAATCTGTTGGAGAACCCTGTGAGTGCCTATGCAGGACACTGTGGGTGCAGCAAAGGGACTGCCCCCTCTATGCTGACCATACTCTGGGGACTTCCACACTCTCTTCAGTCTCTTATTCCCTTCAGGATGGAAGGTGGCAGGGGCTTTGTTTTGGGTGCCAGGGAGAACAGACATGCAGCTGGTCTCAAGTCCTGCTTTTCCCAGGAGGAACCAGAAAGCTCCACTCAGCCCAGCTTCCCCAGACGATGCCAAAGACAGCTTGTTTCTCTTTCCAGCTCCCAGGCTGGTTTTCTCCCAGGAGGGTCAGCAGTGGGGTGAGAGTGGGGGGCCGTGTTGCCTCTATCCTGATTTCCAGGATGTGGAGAACTTCTTGTGGATGTCCGGTAGTGTGCATCTGGGGGCAGTTCTGCAGCTCTTGTGTATTTTCTGCCTGCTAACTGGGTTGTATCAACATCAGGCAGCAAGCATGATCAGGGGCCGGATGCAACCCTGATTCCATGGGGCCAGGCCCTGGAGCAGGCTCCCTGCAATGCCAGCTCCACCACAGCCATAAGGGAGCTCTCCTGTCCCCACTCTCTTCTCTTGAACTTACAGCAGGTGCAGAAGTTTGTCCACTGAGATTTATCTTCTGAGAGAGGGCTTTGCTCCAGACACATCATCAGAAAGAAGGAGAAGAGCAGATGAAGATCTCAGGTCAGAGACTCAGCACCCATCCTGGAGTACACGGGATCCTCAGAAGGTCCACACGGAGCATGACCATGAAAGCATCTAAAAATTTCAAAATTATTTTCTCCCAAAGTTTATCTTTTGATCCCATTTCCCAAAACAGATGTTCCCAGTGGAAGATGAGTCCCAGTGAGTACCACGCCAAGGAGCCTGGCTATGGGCACAGCAAGGTGGGTGAAGCCCCTGCCCCGCCAGCAGTCCAGGGTGGGAAGCGACTGCTGAGGCTAACACAGGGGCGAGACGCCGTCCGTGGTTCTGAACTGCACACTGGAGTGAGCAGCCCAGCCGCTGAAACGATCACTAGCCTGGCCAGCGCGAGAGCATGAAGGGCATAGCCCCCTGCAGGGTGTGCAGGAAGGCGTGTCCATGCTCAATCTGGCCCGCTGGCTGCGGTGGGGGTCCCCCAGGAATGTGGTGTTAATGTGGCAACAGAGATGATGGCTTTGTCTTTGGGCTGGGGAAATGTGTGGGGTTTCACCTCTGGGATTGAAAGGGGAAGAGAGCCGAATTCCTCTTTATGGAATCCATGAATAGTCTGCTGGACTCAGGGTTAATGGACTTTATACACTTGACCTTCATCTCTGCAGACTGAATTTACAAAGCTAAGGCCCCAGCAGACAGGAACACTGTAGCTCTTTGGCCACCACACTGCGGAGGGCAGAGCCTGGTGAAAGGGTCCAGTCCACACTGGAGAGGGCAACGTTGAGGGATGAAGCTGCGCAGGAAAAGCTGCTGGGGCACAAGCAGGGCCAGTGGTAGATGGAGCAGGTCACTCACTGGAAGCTTCACACGAGGCTGTGGAGCCTGACAAACCCCACCCACTTTACAGGAAGTTCCAGGCAGCCCTGCAGAGCAGGCACCGGGTTCTGCCATGGCATGAGATCTCCATCCAGCACCACCAAGGAACCAGAACAATCAGTACCAAAGTAGGAGGGACATAATCCCAGACAGGCCACTCATGTGCTTGGGGGCTGGTGGGTGTTCTAGTCCATCCTGAAACAATTCTCCATTGTTTGATGTTTTGCATGGCTGTAAGAAATGTGCAGCAAGAAGTGAAGCCACTTTCATTTGGGAGGAAAGACTGGAGAAAGCAGTGAACGTGAAGGTCCAGGACAGTCTGTGCTTCCTGCTGGCCCCAGGCCAGGGCCAGGGTTGCTAAGTTCAGAGAAACTGGGGCTCAGCACAGAGAGTAAGGTCCTAGAGAAACCAGGAAAAAAGAAGGTCATGAGATTCTTTGCACTTGTGTTGGCCGGTTGCTCTGCACTTTACTTTCTAGTCCAGCTAAGGAACGGAAGTGGCACTTCAATCTAAGGCATTTGGTTGAGAGTCAAGTCCAGGGCCATGAGCAATCAGACACGGGTGAGGGAGTTCCTCCTGCAGGGCCTCTCAGCAGCACCACAGCTCCGGGTCCTCTTCTTCATCCTCTTTCTCTCCCTCTACACCGTGGCCCTCTGTGGGAATTCCCTCATCATGGCAGCCATCGCCTTGAGCTCCAGGCTCCGCACCCCCATGTACTTCTTCCTGGCCAACCTGGCTGTGCTGGATGTCATCTGTGCATGCACAGTCGTGCCCACACTGCTACAGACTCTGGTGGCTGAGGAGACAGGCATCTCCTACGGGGGCTGCATGGCCCAGATGTACTTCCTGACGTGGTCTGTGGCGGCAGAACTGCTGCTCTTCACGGCCATGGCCTGTGACCGCTATGTGGCCATTTGCCAGCCGCTGCACTATGGTTCCATAATGAGCCCCCAGGTGTGTGTGGCACTTGCTGGAGTCGTGTGGGGCATCAGCACCCTTGGTGCTGGGGTCAACACCTGCCTGATGCTGCGCTTGAGCTTCTGTGGGCCCAACGTGATCGACCACTTCCTCTGTGAGATCCCCTCTCTGCTGCTGCTCTCCTGTTCCTCCACATACGTGAACGACGTCATGACACTCGTGGCTGACATCTTCTTTGCCGATATTAACTTCCTGCTGACCGCGGTATCCTACAGCTTCATCATTTCTACCATCCTGAAGATGCGCACCGCCGAGGGGAGACGGCGCGCCTCGTCAACCTGCTCCTCCCACCTCATTGTGGTCAGCACGTACTACTCCACTGTCATCTACAGCTACCTGGGCCCAGATTCCAGCTACTCCCCAGGGGCAGGCAAGATCCTGGCAGTGCTTTATTCCACTGTGAGCCCTGCCCTGAACCCTCTGGTCTACACCCTGAGGAACAAGGACGTCAAGGCCGCCCTCAGGAAAGTCTTCATAGTTTTAGCAAAAAAGTTGTAATTACATGGCATCTAGGAAGCTGAAAGTTCCAAGTTTTCATGACTGGAAATATATTCATCAGGGACATGTCACACTGAGAAGCAAAAGCTAAATCGACTCACCGACAGCACCCCCATTTGGAACCACAGGCTGTGGCTGTTTCTGAATTTACAGCCACACGAGGAGGGCCCCCTAAAGCCTGCTGGACGTGTAACAGTGGGAGAGCTGAAAGACATGGACATTTGCATTAAGTGCTGGTGACAAGATGTTCCATTTATGATAAAGCAATGCAAAAATAGTGGTACAAATGTGATGCATCTGAAGGGACAGTCTCCAGACCCAAGTGCTGGTTTGGTGGCTGTCAAAGCCCCTTCCACAACACTGATGCCGTAAATCTCCCCCTGGTGCTCCTGACAGAGTGTGCGTCCTCTGAGAGCCACTGGGGTCCTCCTGTGACTCTACCAGGGTCGTGTCCAGAGCTCAGGGCACAGAGCTGGGTGAAACAACTGTGGCAGAGAAGGGAGCCATGAGGTCTGGTGGGGGCATGGTGGGAGGTTGGGATCAGTTGTCACTGGGAGTCATAGGAGAGAGAGGGAGCAAATGCAACAAGACCGTGTCCTCCATGAGGTGGACAGCAGTGTGCAGAGGGTGAACTGCTCGATGGCTCCTGCCGGGGTCATTATTGCTGACACAAGGGACCCCCCCCCAAGATGGACAGTGTGATTTGCTCTGGAGAACATGGATCCCCCTTTCTAGATGTCTCCACCCAGATTTTTTTCTGCTCAATGCAGTGCATTCTGGGGCCCCATATCCCCTACCATGGGAGCCCAGGACATTCCTTTCCCTTGTTGGTGCCATCCTCAAGACACTGGCATTGTCGATGTGCTGACCCCTTCACAGCCAATCAGGGAGTAGACAGGGCCTCGTCTCCAAGCCTGAGTGCCTAATGGGCCAGTGCCAGCCATGCCTAGCTCTGGGTGAGTAATAGCTATCCAGAGAACACCGTGGATAGAGTTAGCCTAGAGCAAGCGGGATCTTCCTCTAGAGCAGGCTATGAAGAGTCCCAAACGTGGAAGGGACACTCTCCAGAAGGCGGAAGTGGGGGATGCTGCAGAGGGAGCCACAGCCCCGCAGCTACAATGGGGAACGCATGAGAGCACAGACACAGGAATGCTGAGTAACAAAATGGAAACAGCAACTGGCTTTCCCAATAAATATTAGAACCATTTGATTCACCCATCCTAAAATCACTTCATCATGGTGGGTGGAGTGGACAGCAATGGAGCTCATGTTCCTGAGGGAAAGGTGCAGGAGGGCCCTGGAGAGAGGATGGGAAGAGTGGTGTGTGCGGACAAGTCAGGGTCAGTGGAAGGTGGAGTGAGACAAGGTTGTGAGATGATGGTGCAGCTGGGAGGAGGACAGTACAGGGGAGGGAAGGGTGGAAGGCAGGGAGAGGGTGGAGGATGTGGGAAGGGAATAGGTGAGTGGATGGTGAGATGGAAATGTTACTGGGTAAGAGGATGGAGGCTCGGGGAGAGGCATGGAGGGGAAATGAAGGGATGGAAGAAGGATGATGGACATATGGATAGAAGTGGGAGGGGAGGGGAAAACCAATAGGAGAAAGAGAGGAAGAAGGGTGGATATGTGGGTGCCTGAAGGGTGAATGGAATAGATTGGAGGAAAGGGGGAAACATGAAGAGTGTCCACAAACAGAAGAAACTGGAAAGAAGGCTCTGATGTATGGAGTGGGTGGGACAGTGGGAGATGGGAACGGGAGTGTCGGAGGCCTGAGAGCGAGGAAGAGAGGCAGGGGTGGGAGAAGCAGGAGAGGAACAATGAGGAGAAAGAGGGTGAGGGAACATGGATGGAAGGGTAGGCAGGGGCTAAATGGATGGATGGACGGGCAGATGAATGGATAGCTGTGTGGATGGATGAGTGGATGGATGAGTGGACAGGTGGGTGGATGGATGGGTAGATGTGTGGATGGATGGATGAGTTGACGGATGAGTGGATGGGTGGATGGATGTGTGGATGGACGAGTGGATGGATGAGTGGATGGATAGGTGGATAGATGTGGATATATGATGGGATTTAATAGGATGGTATGTGGAGAGCAAAAGGATAGTGATTAATTTTGTTTCTTAAATTTATGTATTTGAAATGCAGAGAGACAGAGAGAGTAAGAAAGACAGAAATCACCCACCTGCTGGCTCACTCTTAACATGGCCATTATAATGAGGGCTGCACCAGGCTGAAGCCAAAAGCCAGGAACTCAATGCAGGTGGCAGGGACATCACCCACTGCTTCCCAGGGTGTGCACTCACAGGAAACTGGAATCAGGAGCAGAGCCAGGATTCAAACTCAGGCACTTGGTATGTGATGTGGGCTTCACAAAAGGTGTTGTAACTGCCCCCAGGATCTAAGAATGTGGGTGAGGTGGATGGACACGTTCACAGACTGTGAGAAGCCAGAGCCTGCTCTCCAGAGTGCAGGCCACCCTCTCCTAAGCAGAAAGTGGACATTTCATGGCCAGTGCCAGCATAGAGACCATTATCAAAGAGGTGTCAAAGTAGAACAGAAACCCGAAGTGTAGCTTCTGAAAGTCACATGGCTGCCTCTGCAGAAGGTCACTCTGGCAATGGCTGTAGGTGAAGCAGTTTAGACTGGACCAGTTCCTTCTGGTGGGCCCTAAAATGCTGTCCACGTTTTGTCCACCCCGACTCCATCACTGCCATACACATGTGCATGTGCAGACACAGGTACATACAGACACATTCACACATAGTGCACACCCCCTCACACAGTGAACACATGTACCCACAAATGCACACATGTCAAATACACAACACAAATGTCCAGGGGCTGTCACATGGACCAGAAGTCCAGCAAAGGGGAGCCTGGAAGGAGACGTTTGGAATCTGAGCCCTGAAGACAGATGGGGGATCCAGGATCCTCACCACATCACTGCAGGCTGCACGGTTTCACCCTGAAGTCCCTGGGGAAGGCAGAATTTCCTGCTAAGATCTCCTGCTATTTCCTCTGAATCTGCTGCTCTTTCTCCCTTGGCTTTCACTCCCAAAGCTCCCCTGAATCCCCACTGCCATAACATCTTTAAATGCAACCTGCATTCTTCTCTTTCAAGATCCACTGCAGGAAAACAGCAAAGAAAAGTGCAAGGAGGAGCCACTTCCAAGACCCACAGGGCCCCCATGTCTGGCCGTGTGCCCCTCCCCCTGTGCTTGGCCCCCAGCCCTAGGCATCCACACCTCCCCTCTTGCCCTGACATCAGCCTCTGCTGTGACCAGCATCTGAAATGAGGTCACACAAGCGGCTGCCCCTGCCCCCCTCGCTGGGGGGACACAAACAGTTCTCACCAGGAGGCCAACAGCTTACAGCCACAAGGGCCCCCGGATCCCACTTCCACAAACACAGGAGTCATCCTAGCAGCTGCATCCACCTGCACTGCCCTTTCTCAGGACAAGCCCCGTCCACTCTTGCTCACGTCCGGTCCTGTGTCACACACAGTGAGGTCATCCCTGTCACAGTGAGGTCATCCCTGTCACACACAGTGAGGTCAAGGCTGTCACACACTGTGAGGTCATTGCTGTCACACACAGTGAGGTCATCCCTGTCACAGTGAGGTCATCCCTGTCACACACAGTGAGGTCAAGGCTGTCACACACTGTGAGGTCATTGCTGTCACACACAGTGAGGTCATCCCTGTCACAGTGAGGTCATTGCTGTCACACACAGTGAGGTCAAGGCTGTCACACACTGTGAGGTCATCCCTGTCACAGTGAGGTCATCCCTGTCACAGTGAAGTCATTGCTGTCACACACAGTGAGGTCATCCCTGTCACAATGAGGTCATCACTGTCACACACTACAAATGGACCCAAGTGTCCTGGGGGACAGGATTGGCCCCAGTGCCAGCTCCAGGGACCTCTGATGGAACCAAGCCTGTCTTGAACGCTTCACACTCAGCCCTGACAGCAGGATGACCTGGGCCCTCCTCCTCCCCATCTCCCGTCATGCGGTGGGGCCCTCTTGGCAGCCACCCCACAGAGCTTCCCACAGATTTGGAGGGGACCCAGGTCCTGCTGGCCCATGAGGAGCTCTGCCTCCTCCTGAAAAACTGGAAATCTGCTTCTTGTCACTCCCAGAGGTCAGATAGCTCTCTCCAGAGTCCAGCAGCCTCCTCCCACACTGTGTTCACATGCCCCTGGCTTGGCCCCCTGCCAGGCTCAGGGCAGCCCCCAGCTGGGCTCAAAGCTGCATTTGCAGTGGACACTGCTCAGGCAGGAGCTCCCAGGCGTTCCATGAGAGCTCCTGGCTCCACGCTTCCTATCACTTGTTGCAAAAGCTCGATGGCCCCGGCACTTGTTTTTAGATTTCCCGTTGTAGAATGCTTCACAGATTAGATCATAGCATGAATCTTTTTTTTTATCTTTTATTTAATGAATATAAATTTCCAAAGTACGACTCATGGGTTACAATGGCTTTCCCCCCCATACCGTCCCTCCCACCCACAACCCTCCCCTTTCCCACTCCCTCTCCCCTTCCATTCACATCAAGATTCATTTTCGATTATCTTAATATACAGAAGATCACATAGCATGAATCTTGAAAGTCTTCTCGTACACCTGTGATGTTGTTCAGACCTGCTCTCACCCAGCGTCCACCTCGGGGTGCCCCGGGCATAAAAAGTTCCCGTGCACCTCACCTGTCTCCGCAGAGGCAGTGGCAGAGAGAAGCTTCAGCCAGCCTCTGTCCAGGTCACAGGTTCCCTTTCTCATGTCAGTAGAGAACCTTCACTCTCAACGGTGGCAGGTGAGGGACCGCCTGGCTCTCGTCACAGCAGAGAGCAGCTGTCCACCAGCCTGAGTGAGGGTGAGGGCGGAGCCAGCCCACCCCTGGGTTCAGGACTCAGGAACAGAACTGGTCTCCAGCACTGGGAGTCACAGCGTGACTGGGACAGGGGCTGGTGCTCAGCCATCCAAGCCTCGGGTGCCCCGCAGCCTT